CATTCCTTAGATCAGAACGAAGTATGGAAACTAGTAGACGAAAAGGAAATAAAAGACGATCAAAAAATACTAACAAACAGATGGACGTTTAAAATAAAAGAGGACGGAACATACAAGGCTTGATTGGTAGTGAGAGGTTTCGACCAAGAACTAAACGACTTAATAGACGAAGTATTTAGCCCTGTAATAAGCTCAAGTGCCACTAGAACATTACTTGCACTAGCAGCAGCTCAGTCAAGCCACATAACGAAATTCGACATAAAGACAGCTTTTCTTTATGGAACATTGGATGAAGAAATCTACATGAGAATACCACAAGGCTACGAAGAGAGTGAAGGGAAAGTATGTAAACTTAAAAAAGGTCTGTACGGGCTGACACAGGCACCAATGAAATGGAACGTAACATTCACGAAAACACTGAATAAGATGGAACTAGAACAATTGAAATCAGAACAATGCATATTCAAGAACGCGGACGGAACGATAATCGTCGCAATCTACGTAGACGACGGACTAATAATATCAAAAAACAAAAAACAAATAAAAACCTCATAAAAAAATTAAACGAAAACTTCATAACAAAATCATGGGAAAATCCCAACAGTTTTCTCGGTATAAATTTAAAAGTGGTGAACGATGAAATAAATTTACATCAAACTGGACTAATAGAAAAAATATTAAATAAATTTAAAATGAGTGAATCAAAACAGACATATATACCGCTAAACCAAAGTGATTTTAAAAGAAGTGATAAAACTAAAGTCAAAAGCTATCCGTATCAAGATGCTATCGGCAGCTTACTCTATCTAGCGAATAAGACGCGACCGGACATCAGTTTCGCGGTAAATTTCGTAAGCAGATACGTAAGTGACGTAACAAACAGCGACGTAAATAACGTAAAGAGAATTTTTAAATATCTAAACACTAACAAAACCGACGAAATTAAATATAAAATAAACACGGACTTAAAAAACCTAAAACTGAGTGCATACAGTGATGCGGACTATGCAAACTGTTCAGAAACGTGTAAAAGCACTTCTGGCTACATTATAACGATTAATGGAGGACCTATCAGCTGGAGCGCAAAAAAACAGCCAATAGTTGCACTGTCCACAACAGAGGCGAAATACATAGCGGCAGCCGAATGCTGCAAGGAAACAATGTACCTAAAAGGGTTGTTGGAAGAGATAACGGGAACAGAACTGGAGGCAACACTACATATGGACAACAGAAGCGCAATAAGTATAGCAAAAAGCGGCGTAATAAGCAAGCGAAGCAAACATATAGACGTTAGATTTCATTAAAATTCAGTGAAGCAAGGAAGGCCGAGAAAGGAAAGAGCCATTATGAGGAGTGCTTCATTTCAATATAATTTAAAACCAAACAATAATTCATCAGTTGTGGTTTGCAAGAAATATTTTCTTGGCACGTTTAACGTGTCTGAGGGAAGAGTTTCCCGAGCTTTAAGAAAAACACTCGATGGTCAGACTCCAGGAGATGACCTAAGAGGCTTAAAAGGCTGTCCTAAACGGAAAATATCAGAAGACGATAAAACTTACGTTATGCAGCATATCCAGTCATTTCCTTCATACGAGAGTCATTACACAAGGAAACACAACCCAAACAAAAAATATTTATGCCAATCATTGAGCCTGCGAAAAATGTATGCGCTGTACGCCGAAAAATGCTATGAAAACCAGAGGCAGCCAGTCAAGGAACATTTTTATCGGTATATCTTCAATACGAAATTCAACTTACACTTCTATAACCCGAAAAAGGATACATGTAAAAGGTGTGATATTTACAAAATTAAAATATCTAACCCAAATTTGAATCAAGAAGATAAGACGGTACTCGATAGAGATCATGAATTTCATTTGAAGAAAGCTGAGTTAGCTAGAAGTTGTATGAAAGATGACGCTGAAATTGTTAAAATCAATCAAGAATGTTATGCTTGTAGTATAGATTTGCAAAAATCCTTACCATTCCCAGTTTTAACGGTTTCTGATGCTTATTACAAAAGAAATCTTTACTGCTACAATTTTGGGGTTCATGATTTTGCAAAGGATTCCGGGTTTTTCTACGTATGGAATGAGACAGTTGCCGGAAGAGGCTCACAAGAAATATCGTCATGCCTATTAAAGCACTTAAAAGTTTATGCTAACAATAAAAAGAAAGTCACTGTTTACAGCGATACATGCGGAGGACAAAATCGAAACATTAATATGTGTTTGGCATTAATGAGATTTATTCAAAGTGATGAAACTAACATCGAGGTCATAGACCAGAAGTTTTTGGTACCGGGCCATTCGTTTTTGCCTAACGATTCTGATTTTGGCAGTGTAGAACTTGCAGCAAAAGGAAAAGTCATCTACGTTCCAGAAAACTGGTATGAAATTATGACAAATTGTAGAAATAAAAAAAAATTTATAATAAGTACAATGAATAAAAATGATTTTTTTTCTACTGAAAATTTAAAGAGGAATGTTAGTAACAGAAAAATCAATATTGAAAATAAACGTATAAACTGGTTGAAAATCCAGTGGATTAGAATACAGAAAGGGAGTCCTTATAAAATAATGTATAAGGAAACATTAGAGGACATGATAGAGTTTGATGTCCTAAACATAAAGCCAACTGGCAGAAAGGGAAGGCCTATTTCTTTAAAGAACGTACCGTACGTTAAACTTTATACTAACATAAGACCTATAGGGGAGTTTAAAAAACAGGATATGATGGCTTTGTTGCCGTTTATTCCTCCGGTGCATCACAATTTTTTTTTAAATCTATGTACATCCAATGCTATAGAAGGCGATATTGGACCTCTATCTTTCCATGCAGAGGAAAGTGATGAACTTAATAATAAAGAGGAAGGTGATGACGAACTGCAGGTTATAAGCCAGTAGTGGACACCTTTTGAAAAATTTTCGAAAATTGAATAATATAGGACGCATTTGTATTAGAATGTTGAGATTTTTAATATTTTGTTTGTTCTTTAGTTGCACATTTCATTGTTCCTTAGGCTTTAATTTTAATTTTGTTTTATATTTGTGTTAAATACATTAAAAATGTGAAGTAAAATGGGAAATGTTATTTAATTGAAATTGATTCAAGTAATAAGAGCCTTGAAAATGTACAAAATAATAACAACTTTTTTTCGATGTAAGTCCAGAAATTATCATATTACCTTGCACGTATTTAGGATGAAAGTGGCATAAGTCACTTAACCCCTACTTCTTATAGTATATACAAAAGATGCAGAATATAATGTTTATAAATCGGGTTAATCATTTAATTTCAAACAGCAATCAGTTTTTAGTATTGCGATCTTTTTTTATTTGATTTTTCAATAATAAATTTAACATACAATTAAATTTCTTCAATTTGTCAAATATGACTTATGCCACTTTCATTCTCACCGACTCATATAGTCACGTTTATTCTCCTCATTAGAAGTAGATGTTAGTTGTAATAATAAAACCGCTATCAAGTACGAACGGTCAAAGTGTGTGATATAAAACCTAAAAACCTTCCTGTCCCACTGCGAACAACACGTTCATCCATTTGATGTCATTCCGTGGAAAAGGTTGTTGTTATTGTTCCTTAACTGTTTTTCGACGACTAATTTTGCACTTCACGCTGTAAAGATTTGTTTCCGTTTTCAAGAGTTACTCGTTTTGTAGATTCCGCAGATCGCTTTTTAATTTTGAAGAAACACATGTTGAACATAACTTCAAAGGAATGACATCCGATGTTGTCCGTTTTTCTTTCTTTTACATGAATAACCTAACGTTGGCTGAATTTTTGACGGTAATTATTTGTAGTATATTTTTAACAACAAGAAAAAGCTCATTTTTATGTTTTTTCGCTCGTTTTCATTGTAATTTCGTTGTTTCATTTTTTATATCATTGTGGCGTTGCACATATTCCGTGCCATATTGATTTGAATTACTTTTTCAAAAATCAAGAAATCGATTATTCTTTTTTACGTTACTATGTATAAATTCATTTATTATTATTATTCAATAGACTTCAGCCAAAGGAAGTCAATTTTTCATTTTACGAATACAAAATCAATTTTCAAAAATACTGATTATTTTATTTATTATATGTGAGTAAATCCCACCTCGAATTCAATAGCATTAACAGCATCAGCAAATTAACGCTTAACATGTCACCACAGCGAGGTAAATATTTCTAACCACAAAAAATTTAAAAAAATTAATTTTTAAATATGGATTTTTTTGACACCATATTCCTCTTTTTATTCATCTTTATAGGAGGGGAAGTGGCTGTAGCATGCTGTGCACAGGACAAGATCGTGTTGCTAAACAAAATCAATTATTATATTCAAGTCATTCAAATTATTATATTAAATTTCATCGAACGAAAGTGTACGGTTCATTTTATTAAAATATTAATATTATTAAAATATATTATCTCATTTATATTGTGGAATACAGTAGTCCCTCATTTTACGCGGTATTTTTATACGCGGATTCGCTTTAACGCGGTTAAGAATCGGACACCAAAGCTTAATTTACGCGGTGGTCGATTCACTTTTACGCGGTTGCTTCACCAGAAATTTTACACGTGGCGTCGCGACGCATAGGCGCTCGACGTAAGGGCGCGCGACTCGTTGGCGTCGTTTGAAACTATCGTGCAATTCTTGCAGTGTTACAGCGTATATGTTCCAATTAATCTTGTGTTTTGAAACAAAGAGGTGTCGTTTGTGTTTCGACAATTTTTTTATAATAAATGGTAAGACATGATTTATATAAATATATACTTTTTTAAGTAGAAATGTATTTAGATTATATATTTGGATTATGTTCCTATAAATTCCTTTTTTCCTTAGTTTTGAGTGTTGTTCATTTTGCATTCAATTTTTTGTAAATAATTTTATAATTTTAGGCAACTAATATGGCAGATTCTAAACGATGTAGGAAAGTGTTACACTGTTACAAAAATGTGCAATATTAGATGATTTAGACAAAAAAATGACTGTAGCAGAAGTGGCCAGAAAAAATAGCGTTAACGAATCTTCTATACGAACTATTCGCCAAAATAAAGAAAATATTCGAAAAAGTATCGAATCCTCAGTCCGTGAATCTTCAAAATTTGTTACGTACTCCAGAAAAGGACCTATCGAAAAGGTGGAAAACGCGTTAGGTTTGTGGATTGAGGATCAAACTCAAAAAAGAGTAGCTCTAAGCTCTGTTATAATTGGAGACAAAGCTACAAAACTATACGATAATTTTCTGAAAAATAAATCCTCTTCGTCAAATAGTGAACTGAAACCATTTGTTGCAAGTAAGGGATGGTTCGACAAATTTAAAAATTGGCACAGCCTTCATAGTTTGAAATTGATGGGAGAGTCTGCTTCAGCCGATCACGAAGCAGCAAAACTATATCCAGACCGTCTAATGAGGATAATTGAAGACGGTTGTTATCTCCCACAACAAGTATTCAATGCTGATGAGACTGGTCTCTTTTGGAAAAAAATGCCTTCAAGAACATTCATATCAAAAAATGAAAAAACCGCCCCTGGCTTTAAGATGGCTAAAGATCGTCTTACTCTGCTGCTTTGTTCAAATGCATCTGGAGATTTTATTACCAAACCGTTATTGGTTTATAAATCATTAAATCCTAGAGCATTAAAAAATAAAGATAAACGAAAATTACCTGTATTTTGGAGGTCGAATAGTCGTGCTTGGGTCACTGGAGACATTTTTGTAGATTGGTTACAAAATTGTTTTATACCAGAAGTAGAGAATTATTTAAAAAGGAACAATATTTCATTTAAAGTTTTGTTGTTGATAGATAATGCTCCCGGTCACCCTGCTAACCGACTACAAAGCTTAAATGAAAATGTCAAGATTGAGTTTTTGCCTCCTAATACAACCTCCCTTATTCAGCCTTTAGATCAAGGTATTATAGCTGCATTTAAAGCATATTATACCAGAATAACTTTTAAGAAGTTATTAGATAGTTTGGAAAGTGACTCGAAGCTAACTTTAACACAATGTTGGAAAAATTACAACATTGGTAATTGCATAGACAACGTCGAAGAGTCCCGTCGTGAATTGAAAAAATCTACATTGAATGGTTGCTGGAGAAAAATCTGGCCAATTGTTGTCACATCGGAGAAGGGCAATGACAACGATGTCAATTTACATGCTAATGACATCCAGGCTACAGTAACATTAGGCTGGTTGTTACCGGGAGTTGGATTTAGTGACCTCCAGTTGTCAGATATTGAAGAGCTACTCGAATCTCATAATTCTGAACTAACAGAAGAAGAGCTAGGAGATTTAGTAGCTAACAATAATCAAGAATCCAGTGATAGTGACGATAATAAGGAAAACACACTCCCAGCTGAGTTAAGTCTCAAAACTGTTAATCAATGTTTAAAGATGGGAGAAGAATTAACAGATTTTTTGATAGAAAACGATCTTACTCCGCGTAGCTTAAAGGCACAACGTGAGATACTTAATGCCTTGGCACCTTATAAAAGTTTATAGCAGAGGCTTCAAAATGAAACAAAGCAATCCAAAATCACACACTTTTTATCAAAGAAATAATAAGATTTTTTTTATTAGTTCTCTATCAGACAAAAATATCAGTTCCTTTTTTTAACTGTAATATGTATAAATATTATTTGTTTTGTATTGTTTATTTTTTTTAATATAATATAATGTTTATTTATAATAAAAGTATGTACATACTTTAAAAGTCGATAATTTCTTAGTCGTTAGAACCAAACCCCCCTAATTACATATAATTCAATGCTTCAATTTACGCGATTTCGATTTACGCAGGATGTTCACGGAACGTAACCCACGCGTAAATCGAGGGACTACTGTATACACCACAATCATGTATTGTATTTTTTTATATATTATTTTACGGTTCCGTTGATATTAATTGTCTTGTTTATATCTTTTGTAGCGCACGACCTGAAGACGAAGCTTATAAGTAGTGATGGGCACTATCGAATAAATCTGACTATCGAATAAATAGTAAATGAATGATTCGAACTATCGAATGATTTATTCGAATAAATTCATTCATTCGAATTCGGTGAGGATTGAGGATATCCAATAATGCGCAATATAGGTTAGGTATACCGGGTTTATACAGAATTTAGCTGCAAATTTAAAATTTTAAAATTTAGTTTTAAAAGTTAAATCTAATGAAACTGTTATATCTTAACAGCTTTGCATACACAATATATGAAGTTTCAATACGCTTAACTTTTAAAGTTAAATTCTTAAATTTAATTTAGTTATATCCTCTGTAGAAACCCGGCATAACAAGTGCTCTCCCCACTGCTTGACTTTTAATAGACAAAAATCGGGGAATTACCGAAACCTTGGATTGTAATTCGTCAACATCAACTCAAGATCAGCAACTACCATCCACATTAATGCAGTCTCAACTTCAAGAACAAAGCAGTAAATCCACATCTACAATAGACTCCATTAATTGCAAAAAACGAAGTCGACAAATGAAACTGTGTGTTGTCGGAAATTGAAAATGATCAAATAGATCAAAGTTTAATTAAAATGATAGTAATTGATTACCAGCCTTTATCAATTGTAGAAAATCCTGGGTTTTTGGAATATTCTAAAAAGTTACAGCCACTATACAAACCACCAACTAGAAAATTGTTATCGTCGAAAATATTACCTAACACATATAATCAAATTTGCGAAAAAGTAAAAATATTGTTAGTAAAAGTTGATCATGTCGCTGTAACTACTGATATATGGACTTCGGACAGCAATAAAGCGTATTTGACAGTAATTAGTCACTTTTTTTACGATGACTTTATACATAATGCTGTTTTGGCAACTAAAGAAATACCGGAAGCCCATACTGGTGTAAACATTGCGTCTGCTTTATCAGAAATTTTTAATGTTTGGGAAATTGACTATAAAATAATTAGCATTGTTAGTGACAACGGTGCTAATATAAAAAATGCCATAATTGGGCAGCTTCAAAAAGAACACCATCCATGTATTGCACATACTTTAAATTTATGTTACAGATGCTCCAAAATCAACCGAACCAGTAATGCGATTAATAAAAAAATGTAGAGCATTGGTAGCTCATTTTAATAACAGCACAGTGGCATGTGAAAAATTAAAAAGCATGCAAAAACAAATGCTATACCCTGAATTAAAAGTAAAACAAGATGTATCTACTAGATGGAACTCTACTTTAATTATGGCAGAAAGACTATTAGCGATATTAAAGGCCCATTATCAGCCGCCATTGCATCGCTACCAAAAGCTCCAGAATTTATTACAGCAACAGAATGGGATCTGCTGATAGATGTGGTATCCATTTGGAAGCCATCTGAAAAAATAGCTATTGAATTATCAGGCGAAAAATATATAACAATGTCTTTAATTATTCCTCTTATAAGATGTCTACAGCATTCGCTAAAAAGCCGCATTCCTAAAACGACCAGTGCAGAATCTTTAAAACTTGTTTTACAAGATAATGTTAGAACACGACTTGGGATCTTAGAAACAAATTTACTTTGCTCAAAAGCAACGTTTTTAGATCCTAGATTTAAAAAAGCAGCTTTTAGTGTTGCAGAAAATGGTGACATAGTTCAAAAATTAATTATTGAAGAAATATCCTATTTTACAAAATAAAGGTGAGACAATTGAAAAACAGACCATAGAAACTACAACTGACAATACTGATGATAAAGAAAACATTTGGTCACACTTTGATGAATTATTTTTTTAAATAGTAATATAAATTTGTTTAATTAATATATTTGTCATTTTTGTCATACATTTTTACTAGAATAGTGTATTTGTTTTATAAATAAATTATTTAACGTGTACTATTTATAAAATTAATTATTACTGAATTATAATGCACGCCAAAATCCTTATTATGTCCATACTGTCCATAGTTTCCCTCACTTGATTCAACTCATTACTTTGAGTCTCAGTCAACTATCAAACGACTGTTCATTGTATGATCAGCGATTCTTCTAGAACAGCTGAATGAATAACTTGCATTCGACTAAAATGAAAATAATTATATTTTCATTTTATTTATTCGTTTGCTTAATAATCTGTTTCAGAAATCAACGAATATTATGATAGTTATTCAAACATTCGAATAAATTCTATAACATCAATGTATTCGAATACTTGACAACAATCGCATTATTCTATAGTGTTCATAACTAATCGAATATTCGAATAGTTGGTAACAACAATCGAATTATTCGAATACTTACCAACTATCGAATTATTCGATAGTTTTTATTCGATAGTGTCCATCACTACTTATAAGCTTCGAAACCCGGTAGTCGAGAACTAATAAAATAATTTTCTTCAGCACACTTGAGTGTTTTTAATTATTAAATGTATTCACTGATCGAAAATAGACAAATAAACCCTAAACATAGGTCAGAAAATGGACCATTGTTGAGATATTCAAAGTTTTAGTCGCATAAATTGACTATTAAGGACGAGGTGTTGTTCCAGGATAGGATCGCAACAAAAAAACAATGCAATTATTTTTTCATGCCAATATTTCGCAACTAAAATGATTGTTGCTTCACCAGGGCGTGAATTTGACAACAACAAACAACCAATAAATCTGTAAGCAAGTACATAATTAATAAAAATCTTACAATTGCCGGGAAATGGTGAAAAATAAAGAAGAACCAACTGTAAAAACCTCGGCATCAAAACACGTGTAACGAACAACCGTTAAAACACCCGTGGCGTAAACGCCTGCGTACAAAAGTAAAAGTAACGTCGCGTTGCCAACTTCACGTGAAGCGCGAAAATTTAAATTTGAAAGAATAATTCGTAAATAAGGAAAAGATCAAGGGAAAATTTATGATGATTTATATAATTCAAAAATTAATGAATAAATAATACTTAAGTCGTCTATGTCTGTCTTAAAATTAATTGTATTAGATTGGGTATTAATATCGGAAGTACACACGTATTTCAAATTGGCAGATGATAAAAAACATTATGTTTGTCAAGTGAAATCCATTATTGATGATAATGAGACTATTTGTGGAACTAAAATCAGTGCATTTACCAGCAATGAATCAAAAAGTGTCTTGTATCAACAAGATCTTATAATTTGAAACGTCATATACAACGACATCACTTAACATTATCAAAAACTATTGATGAAAACAAAAATATATCGCATAAACCTAATGTTTTAAAACGATCTGCATCATGTTCTCTTCAATGTTCAATGACAAAATATTTTAAAAGTGAGAAAATAACAATAACCATGACACAAGAAAATTTCAAAGAATGTATAATTAACAAATAGAAATAGAAAACTTGTCTCACTTTGAAAGCTGTCAATACCTATTACTTAAAACACCTAAATTAAAATTTACAGAATATGCTCACCAAATTAAATTGTTAGAAATGGAATTCGATCGACGATTTTCTGATTTTAAAATCCGTGACGAAGTACAATTTCGTATTTTTACTTCACCTTTATATATCGATATTGAAATTGTTGATGAAAATTTACAAATGGAATTAATTGATATCCCATGTAATGTGTGGAAGTTGGAATTCCAGAATTTTATACATATTTATCTGTAGATCGATTTCCTAAAATGATATCGTTTGTTACGCGTATACTGTCTGTAGTATGTGGATAGACAACCACATGGACACGACCGTTATATGTGAGGAGACGCGTGATTGAGCTTGGTGAATAAAGACGTTATAAAGTTATCACGTATAATTGTAGTTTTAATTCAACAAATACCACATGGCGCAGTCAAGAAGAGTCATAATTAAATAAAGAAAGTAAGAACTACAATTAATTACAAAAATGGAAGCGAAAAACATCCAAACAATGAATTTATCTGGCAATACATGTGAAAATTGGAGGTTATGGCGGCAAAGGTTTGAAATCTATTCAACCGCTGTAGAACTAGATAAAAGAGCTGAAAACGTACAATGTGCTCAATTATTACATCAGTTGGGGGATGATTGTATTAAAATATACAATACATTCACTTTTAAACCAGAGGAAGAGAACAGAATCGACATATTAAAAAATAAATTCGAGGAATATTTTGTGCCAAAAAAGAACGTGACCTACGAGAGATATAAATTCTTCACTGCTCGACAAGGAAATTTAACAATGGAACAATTTATCAGACAAATTAAAGGACAAGGACAACAATGTGAGTTGGGATCCGATAAACTGACAGCGGAATTAACATTAACAATGTTGATAATTGGAATCAATGATGAATCAATAAGAGAAAGATTACTGCAAGTGGATAACCCAACATTGGAAAAAGCCATCGAGTGTTGTGTAATAACGGAAACATCAAGGAAGCAACTTAAGGACATGCAAGAACATCGAACGGAGGCAATGGAAGGGTCAACGATTGATGCTGTAAGAAAACAAGAAAGAAATGAAAAAGATAAACAAGACCGAAGAAAGAAAGAAGATTTAAATTCATATGGAGGACCAAGGAACTACAATA